TATGCATACACACGTAAACACACATAAATCTATCTATTTATCTTCACGGTTATCTGTCTACCTATCTTTCTCTCTCTTGTCTGTCTCTGTCTGTCTCTTTCTCTCTCCCTCTCTCTGTCTTTCTTTGTCTTCTCTCTCCTCTCTCTTCCCTGTCTGTCTCTCTGTCTGTCTGTCTCTCTCTCTCTCTCTCTCTCTCTCTCTCTCTCTCTCTCTCTCTCTCTCTCTCTATCTCTCTCCGATCTATCTTCTTCTCATCTCTCTCTCTCTCTCTCTCTCTCTCTCTCATCTCTTCATACGCACACACACACGCACATACTACACACAGCAGAAACTACAGTACGCCATTTCCATCCCTAATCGCCTCGGCCCCACAGTGCTCTTTGGTTCCTGTGTTGCGTGTGTTTGGTCAAATCCTTGAAAAGAAAAAAAAAAAGAAAAAAAAGAAAGAAAAGAAAATGTCATTGGTTGGTTTCTCAGCCAAATTTGCATGGCGTCTTTTGGAGGCGAACAGGAAATGAAATACATCGAACTCAATTTTACTTTTATTTATTTATTTTTTAGGTTCAGTCTATTTTTGTTTCTATAATTTTACTTTTATTTATTTATTTATATATTTTTTAGGTTCAGTCTATTTTTTTCTATTTTTTTTTAAAGGTTTCAGTCTTTTTCTATTTTTTTTTAAGGTTCAGCCTATTAAAAGATTATATTATTTTTTTTTATGAAATACATCGAACTCAGGGCAGTTTTACTTTTATTTATTTATTCATTTATTTATTTTTTTAGGTTCAGTCTATTTTTCTTTCTTTTTTTTGAAGGTTCAGTCTATATAAGTATATTTTTTTTAGGTTCAGTCTATTAAAAAAAAAACTAATTATTATTATTATTTTAGTTCAGTCTAATTTAAAAAAAACTATTATATTATTATTATTATTTATTTTATTATTAATTTAGGTTTCAGTCTAACCCAGACAGAGTGAGTAAGATGGATTCCAGACGCTGGGACAACTCCAGTCAATAAAGGCTTAAGAGTATGTGTGTCTTTCAGAAGTTTTTATAAAATCAAACAGCCTGTACACAACAAAAATAACCACTAAAGAGAATAAAACTAAATGACGGATTATCATTTATCCGCCTTTTATCCAATCCCCTTTCCATCTCCTTCTCAAAGCCCTTAGCAAGTGGTAATGAGCCCGCTATTAATGAAAGCAAAGCAAGAACTGTACAGGTGCGGAGGCCAGCTGTTCGCCTGAGAGAGGTGTCAT